AGGGATTGTGGATGACCACACCCTAAGTGGGGGTGCTTTCTCACCTCTCCCCATCTCTGGCGAGCACATACACCATCTGGTAAATTTAACAACAACAGCAAAGAAAAGGAAGAAGGCTAGAAAAGGATGTCCTCTTAGAGAAGGAGCTGAGAGGAAGGGGGCATGGGTGTTCCCCCACATCATTTTGCCTGCCTGAGACCTGCTCTTCTCCATAGCCTTGGACTTTTGGCCACTTGCTCACCCCCTTAGCTCCCCATGGAGCCATCTCTTGGTCTCTGACTACCTGGGGAAAAGGCTTCATGGCAAGCAAACAGGCCAGCCCTTTGTAGAGCCTGTTCAGAGCTGGTCAGAGGAGCAGCCTTTCCAACCTCTCAGACCTCCCAAGGGATGGCTAGCTCCTGCTTCACCCTCACAACACCCTCCCTTCCCACCATCCCCCCATCTCTATTTCACAGACTCTGGTCTTGCCTCTGCCCTGGCATCCCCACTGCAGCCCAAGCACCGTCTCCCAAACTAGGCACAGGGAGGACATTTCATGCCTGCACAGGACTTCTAAGCCAGTGGGTGCCTACATTCCCACTCCTGTGCTCAAGCAAAGGCCTGATTGACCACAGGAATGATCACACAGCCCAGAATGCACTGGGGCCCACTTGGCTCACATACAGTCTCAGAAATTCAGGTGTAAACACTTCAGCCACCTAGGAGTGGGAGAGGTGGAACAAGTCATGGAGTTCTCCCTAGTGTTGTAACTGTTGAGCAGCATTTTCATGTACCTTGTTCCTGAGCTCAGGGTCAAAGACTGGGAAAATGAATGATAGATCAAGCTTTGGGAAGGACTCACAGCTCCTCCAGCACTCAGGGAACACAAGGGGGGTGGGCTGTGAGTGTCAGTGATGTGGGTGGGGGCCTCACTGAGGTGTGATGTGGGTCACAGTGGGGTGTGCTGTGGGTCTCAGTGAATTGTGCTGTGGGTCTCAGTGAAGATTACTGTGGGTCTCAGTCAGGTGGGTGTGCTCTTGGTCACAGTTCTGTGCTATGGGTATCAGTGATGTGTGTGGTGGTCTCACTGAGGTGTACTGTGGGTCTCAGTGGGATGTGCTGTGGATCTCAGTGAATTGTGCTGTGGGTCTTAGTGAATTTTGGGTCTGAGAGAGGTGTGATGTGGGTTGCAATTTTGTGCTGTGGGTATCAGTCATGTGAGCTGTGGGTCTCAGGATTGTGCAGTGGGTTTCAGGAGCGTGTCCAGTGGTATCAGTGAGGTGTCCTGCCTGTTGCAGTGGGCTCTGTGGTGGCTTAAAGTGGGGTGTGCTTTGGGCCCAGGGAATGGTACTGTGAGTGTCAGTGAGGTGTCTATGGATCTTAGTGAGGTTTGGAACGTAGTGGGGTGTGCTGTGGGTCTCAGGTTTCAGCGGTGTGTTTCAGGGATGTGTGAGGTGGTCTCAATGAGGTGCGCTGCCTGTTGCAGTGGACTGTGTGGTGGATTAAAGTGGGGTGTGCTTTGAGTCCAGTGGATGTCAGTGAGGATTTCTGTGGGTCTTAGAGAGGTTTGAGACTCAGTGGGGTGTGCTATGGATCTCAGGATCATGTGGTGGGTTTCAGGAATGTGTGAGGTGGTATCAATGAGCTGTCCTGCCTGTCACAGAGGGCTCTGCAGTGGCTTAAAATGGTGTGGGCTTTGGATCCAGTGAATGGTACTGTGGGTGTCAGTGAGGATTACTGTGTATCTCAGTGAGGTTTGAGACTTAGTGGGATGTTCTGTGGCTTTCAGGTTTGTACGGTGGGTTTCAGGGATTTGTGCAGTGGTCTCAATGAGGTGTGCTGCTTGTCACATTGGGCTTTGTGGTGGCTTAAAATGGGGTGTGCTTTGGTTCAGTGAATGGTAATTTGGGTGTCATTGAGGATTTGTGTGTGTCTCAGTGAGCTTTGGGACTTAGTGGGCTGTGCTGTGGGTCTCAGGTTTGTGTGGTGGTTATCAGGGATGTGTGTGGTGCTCTCAATGAGGTGTGTTGCCTGTTGTAGTGGGCTGTGCAGTGTTTTAAAGTGGGGTGTGCTTTGGGTGCAGTGAATGGCACTGTGGGTACCAGTGAGTATTTCTGTGGGTCTCAGAAAGGTTTGAGACTTAGTGGGGTGAGCTGTGGGTCTCATGATTGTTCAGTGTCTTTCAGGAATGTGCGGTGGTCTCAGTGAGGTGTCCTGCCTGTCACAGTGGGCTCTGTGGTGGCTTAAAGTGCAGTGCGCTTTGGGTTCAGTGAATAGTACTTTCAGTGTGAGGATTTCTGTGGGTCTCAGTGAGGTTTGAGACTTAGTGAAATGTGCTTTGGATCTTAGGGTTGTGTGATGTGTTTCAGGGCTTTGTGCAGTGGTCTCAAAGAGGTGTCCTGCTTACCACAGTGGGCTCTGCAGTGGCTTAAATTGGGATGTGCTTTGGATCTAGTGAATGGTACTTTGTGTGTCAGTGAGGATTGCTCTGTGTCTCAGTGAGGTTTGAGTCTTAGTGGGATGTGCTGTGGGTCTCAGGTTTGTGCGGTGGGTATCAAGGTTGTGTGTGGTGGTCTCAAAGAGGTGTGCTGCCTGTCACAGTGGGCTGTGTGGTGGCTTAAAGTGGGGTGTCCCTGACCCAGTAGCTTGAAAATCATGCCAGGTGCATGTGTGTGCATGCCCAAAGTCCCAAGAGGAGAAGGAAGAAGGAATTGCAATATGGCAACACCTCCGGAGGGTGATTTCTCACTTTCTGAATCTCTGTTTCTCTCTGTCTCTCTGCCGAGCACATTTGCTCTATAGCAATAATCTCTTTCATATATATATATATATATATATATATGTATAATATGATATATGTTATATAATTTTTAATTAAAAAAAACTCCATATAAACAAATAAAGGTGGAATGACAACTGGCCCCGACAGAGTAGGTGGGGTTATATATACCTGTGACCTGGGGTTCTCCCATGTGGGAAGAACAGGTGACTGAGAGGACCAGATGAGCTTCAGGCTGAGGAGCAGAGAGTGGGCCCATGACAAGGCCCAAGAGGTGCTCAGGGGCAGACCATGCAACCCCCAGAGACCATGCCAGGTTTGAACCCTCAGAGGACAGGGCTTTGAAGGCTCATAAGCAGGGAGAAGCAGGATTAAACTTCCATTTTAAAGAGTTAGCCCAGTTGTGGAGGAATACAGTCATCCTTTGGTATCCTACCGCTGAGAGACTGGTTCTAGGACCCTCAGCCCTCATACCAAATCAGCAGATGCTCAAGTCCCTTATACAAAATGACATAGTACTTGCATAAAACTTACTCACATTCTCTTGTATTCCTTAAATTACCACCAGATTACTCATAATACCTAACACAGTGTAAGTGCTGTGTAAACAGTAGTCATACTGCATTTTAATTTTTGTATTATTTTTACCATTGTAGCATTGTTGTTCTTTTCAAGTATTTTCCATCTGAGATTGGTTGAATCTCCAGATGTGGAGGGCTGACCTTAACTGGTGACGGGGGTGCTGAGACTGGACTCAGAGAGGTTGGTAAGGAGGCAAGCTGATGATGGCTTGGATTGGGGAAGTGGCAGGGGAATGGGAAGAAGTGGAAGGACGGCAGAGATATTTAGGAGCTAGAATCAAGAGACCCAGATCTGGGGCCGACAGGTGATGTGGTGGTTAAAGGCGCTAGACTCCTACATGGCCACTACAGTTCAAGTCCTGGACCTGGTGGTTTACTTTCTCACTTTCCCTCCCTCTCTCTGTCTCTGATCAAATTGGAAAACTATAATAATAATAAAGTTAAAATAATTCTTAAAAAAAAAAAAAGAGGTCCGGGTCAACGCTGTGATCTCCCAAAGACCCCTGTTAAAACACGGCTGCTAGTTTAGAACCAAAAAGCCCATTAGCAGCAAGAGGTTGCCACTTGGGTAGGACGTCTCCTTAGACAACTCCTGGGGAACCTTCTAGGGAAGGCAGAAAGGCAGAGTAGGACGCCAAAAGCAGAGTTGCAGTGAAGGACACGAGCACCAGGGGGCAGCACACGGACCTAGGCATCTTCAGGGGCTAAGGCCAGCCACTTAGCTACGGCGGAGCCTTTGTCATGTCACTCTGCCGCCACCAGCTCAGTTTCTGTATCGGTTCATGACGATGACGCCCCCTCGCCCGCACCCCCACTGCTATTGTGAACATTGCAGATCTGACACCTTTGAAAGACTTTTCCAATCCCAGGCATCTAGGGAGGCCCCTTCCAGAATGAATCAGCCCTCAGGCCTGAGGTTCCAGGAGGCAGAGCCCAGGTTTCTGGACTGGAGGTCACTGTCCCCAGTATTGCTCCTAAAGGTCTGCTGAGATGGGACAGCCCTGGCTGCTGCCCTACACTGGGCGCCTGCGTCTCTAGACTCTGATGGAGCAGAGGGAGAATCCACTTTTTTTCTTCCTTTTTTGCACCGAAATAAATCCAGAGTTCAATTCGACTTTCTAAGTCTCCTAGTGTAGGAGTGGTTGGTGCAAAGCTGGATGAGGCTCCCTGTGGTTAGTGGAGAAACATGCCGAAGTCAGGAGCATCTGGAAGGTTCCCAGCTCTGTGCTGGAACCAGTCAACCTCTCCGAGCCTCAGTTTGCTCATCTGGAAGCCGCAGGTACCCACATCTGCGCTGCCGAGAGGTTTGGAGGGCGTGGCACACGCTAGGCGCTCAGACGGCGGTTGCTGCTGGTATTTTGGACTCAAGACCTTTGTGGGTGGAGTGCATGCTCTGGGCTTGGGGCTCCCCTGCCCCCCAACCCCGCCCCGGCGCAAGCAGAGTGCTGACTGTGGCAAAGCCACGTTGCCATGCTTGGGGGTGGGGGGGAACTGCTTTGGTTTCGGGTTTAATGAAAAAAATGGATGTTTGGATTTGGTTTCCTCTGGGGCTTGGCGAACTCGTGAGCTTGTCTCCCCTCGCCGCCGGAGCCGCCCAGGTTTGGCCAGGCGGGCCGGGAAGGGGAACTCGGGGGGCTTTAGGACCCGGCTGCGGTGCGCTCGGACCCGGGGCGCCGGTCCCGGGAGGCCGGAGCGGGCAGGGAGGCATGAATGAGAGGCCGGAGGAAATCGCCGCTGAAAGGCTCGCGGCGGAATAGCTCTGCCGTCGCCAGGCAACCGCCCTGACGCAACGCAAAAAAAAGTCCCTCGAAAAAAGAATAGCGCCGAGAATTCACAGGCAGAAGCACCGGAGAAAAGGAGGCGGGAGCCTGCGAGCTGCAGAGGCCGGGCCGGAGGAGGCGGCGGGGACCTCGGCGACACCCCCGAAGGGGCCTCTGGGCGCCCCGAAGGTGGGTTCGCGCCGGGGGCGGAGACCTTCCCAGCGGCTGGGCGATGTGACCCGGCCAGGCAGGAGGCTCCGGGCTGGCAGGTCCCTAGGGCAGGCAGTGGCGGGGCGCAGCTTGATGCCACAGCGCCCCGGAGGGACAGGCATCCCTGGGAGGGGGAGTCCTGCCTCACCCGCCCCTGGGCGCTCGCTGGCCTCCCCGAGGAGTTGGTGAGGCGGGCTGGACCCCATCTCCCATCTTCCATCTGGTGCCTTGCAGGGCTAAGATTCGGGGTCCACGTTTGAGATGAAGGGCCCCCTAGAGTCCCTCCAGGTCTACTGTGGCCTCTGAGCCCACCCTGTTTCCTCTGTCTCCTGGCAGAGATGGCCCCAACGTTGCTATCTCTGTCAGGAGAAGTGACCCCCCCCCCCCCCCGTGCTTGGGCCCAAGGGGGATCTCGGGGCAGCACCCA